GTTCTACATATGTAAATCATGATATAATTATATTGTGTAAATTACCAATATTTACATATTGCTTCGTCAGCAAAATATTTTAGTTATTGCATTGTTGACCAAGCATTTTTAAAATAAAACATGTGTTTGTGTTTAAAATCGATGATATTCCGAAATAATAATATGTATGTATGTATTTGATTGGTTCACACAAAATATTGCGTATATGTACCCCTTTAAAGCGGTAGCTATCTGACACGAGAATCAATATAAAGTGTAGCCTCTATACACATGTGCAGAGTATTTGATATTTAACACAACATAAGGTTTTATGGTTTTAAGTTCCAACCAATCACAAGTCAAACACTTTGAACATGTTCCGTATTGGAACTAATTGATTAGAATTAATGCGTTTGTCTCTGAAAATTTTCTATAAAATACAATTACGTGCGGAATTGACTAAAGCTATGATTAGAAAACAGACAACATGAAGGTTGTTCTGGTGTCATCGCTAGTAATTTTACTAGGGTTGACTTGTAACGGTATTCGATTGCAACACGACCTGACCAAGAAAGATGTAGGCTTATATTCTGATGAAATCAATGTAAGTACAGTATAGCAATAATAGATTTAGCTATAAACGAATTTAGATATAATTTTTCAATAATATAGTATTAGCCATATCCCATATAACTCATATAAATAGAATGTTTCACTTATATAGTTAATTTGCGACGTTTGCACGTACTTTAGCTTGCCTGTGTATAAACAATTAAAATCTTTGATGTTTCACTAATTTCTACTGCAGGTTTATTTTATATTAGTATTTTGCTTTTGCAATTTCTTCGTACTATTGTTTGCCTTACGTTTTCAGTAATTTTTCGACACTATTAATTCTTTTCTAAATATTTTCAAATCTCAATTTTAAAGAGTGTGCTATTAATTAAGTTGTAGATAATTTAAATATTATCGATAAAACAAATATACCTGTAGTTAAAATAGACGCCATGGGAGGGATTGACTGTTACTTTTTGTGGGTCTTACTATTGGGGTTTATTTTTTTAAATTTTTGGAAAAAGAAACTTTTCATAGCATGATGATGACTTACATTGAGGTACGTTTATCCAATCTTTCAGTAAAATGATAGGCCTACATTGCAGGACATGGCTGAATTGCGTATGAATTAACAAAAGTTAAAAATATAATATATAAAAAACCGCATATAAATTGACAACTAAAAGAAATAAAGAATATGACATCAAAAACTGAAGGAAAAAATCAAAAATCAAAATTAATTAATCTAATCCAGTGGTTCCCAACCTGGAGGTCCACGTCAAGTCAAAGGTGTCCGTAGGGGGTCTGCGAAAAATGTTGGGGATCCGCAAAAATGTTTGGGGATCCGCTAGAACAACTTTTTTTTTATGATTCTATTATTTTTTTGTCTTACAATAGTGTGATCATATCTTGACAATAATGAAATACTTTTCACTTGGTAATTTCAAAATTTTGCCTCTGTGTATTGGATTTTGAACTATTCAATATAAAAACATAAAAATTAGTAAATCTTTTTTCTTTTCGTCAAGAGTCACTGCGCCTCGGAATAGTTCGCTAGATAGGCGGCGCACTATAAATGCTGTTTTATTATTATTATTATTATTATTAAATCCCTTTGACAGGCATGACTTCGTTCACTGTAAATTGTTTTAATGGGCATTATATTTTAATTTTCATTGTAAATTTCATTGTATTTGCTATGTAAAGATGTTTAGTATAGGAGAGCCACTTGATAGTGGCAATCCTCAGGTAATGTACATCTTTTTTCCTTGTTTTCTCTTGTATTGCTTTTACCTGGGTATTGAATAAATTTTAAAAAGCAGGAGGGAATCCTAAATTTGACAAAATTAAAAGTAAATGGGTGATAACAAAATATTACATGCCAATTTTGAATAGTGTCATATCCGACCATCTACAAATGCCATAAAACATTTAAAAAATTGAAAATCCCTTATCTGTAAAATTTACTGTCTGTACCGCTCCCCTCCTCTCTATGTCAAATTCCAAGATCCAAGATGTCGTAATTTGGCGAATCATTTTCTATCCATAATATTAATGGCGGAATACCAATGAGTCGCCCTAAATTTTACACATTAAAAATTAAATGGGGGATGGGGATAAAAGAATATTACCTTCAAATTTTGAGTCTGACAGTGCCATTTCCGGCCATCTAGAAGTGGCATAGACTATCTGTAGGCCTAATGTTATTGTTGGGATAAGGACACTGGGTGCTATTTGGACATGGGGTTCGTGAAGATTTTGGCATGTCCAGAGAGATCCGCAAATGCAAAATGGTTGGGAACCACTGACCTAATCTATGACAATTAATTGATTTTTTGCATTTGCCTTGTCACAATTTAAACTATACAATCCATTTGTCAACTTATCAATCAATTAATCAATTAATGTTCAAATTTAATATTATTTCTTTTATTATTATTTCTGAAATAGCGGCCCAGCAGCATTCTGGTGAGGTCATGCTAGGCGCGATGAAACTGCCATAATTCCTTTTAGTGATAGGCCTAGAGTATTAGCATTTATTTAGTAGTGGTGCATCCTTAATAAATGCAATTATTATTTGTTTCCATTGTAGCTACAAACCGTGTTAATTTTGAACAACGTATAAACTACTTTTTTTTTTCAGTCTGGCACACTATTTTAAAAATTTAGTTGATTTTTTTTTTTTTTACAGAAAATGATTCTTGATTATTTGAAGATGAAAGAAGACAACAAAATTTGTAAGTAATACAACTTAATATATGTTATGCAAAATACATCAACGTGGCAGAAAAAGTAATAGGCATAAAATCTTCAATATTCTGTTTGCATTTTAAGCAATACACACAATTCTGTTACCAATAATTATAAAATGTGATATAATAAATTTAATAATGCAAGCAATAATAATAATTAGGCCTAGGCCTATTATTGTTATAATAGTAATAATGGTAATGAAAATAACAATAATTATTATAACAACATATACAGGTATATTGTTATAATAAATAATAATTATTAGTGGTAACAGAATTGTGTGTATTGCTTAAAATGTTAACGTATAATCTATGCCAAATCTATTCTTAAACTCCAGTGATGAATTGTAATTCACGTGTAAATATCAATTCACTTATTTTTGCAGTTGAAAGAGACGTGTCCGATGGTGGTTCAGACATAGACGAAAATGGATCGGGTAAATACTACTTTAATATAAAGCCTGATTTTATTTAACATTAATACCTTGCATTGTAGCCCTGTAAAAACAGCAAGGATGATTTAATCGCGAATTAGAGCTACATGCAACCTTAATGTCCAGATTGTGTGTCTCACTGTTGGTGACATTTTAAAAGCCGACAGCAGGTTTCGCCAAAATGTATTATTCTACCAGCAAGTCAACCTTTTTTCGTATTTTTAGCTAATCCAAGGTTGACTATGTATCTGCAGAGATATAATAGTTCCATTTCCTTAGAGATTTATTTTGTACTTCGGGTTTAAGTTTCTAAGTATGGAAGATGAATAGCATCATAATATCCAGTGGTCGAATAGGAACATAATAATTGTAGTCATCGTTTCAAGCATAGATCATCAACGATTCATTCCTTTATAGCAGCATGTGATAGTGATCCATGTCAACATAATGGACTTTGTACCGTTGATGAGCCGTCCAATGGATATTCCTGCAACTGCACAGACACTGGCTATACCGGTAACACTTGCGAATTTGGTAAGATACTTCTATTTATCTTTTATAAAGCACTGTTTAAACAACCCCTCTCCAGGCTATATTTCCAAACCTAGTTTTAGGTTTCCAATGTCAATACTTTTAATCGTCAAAACATTATTCCTATTTTTGTCATTGCTATTATTATTGTTCTTATTCTTTTTCCTCTTATACTTATCCTTATCCTTCTCATTCTTACTTTTGTACAATTTATTAAATGACGGTTATGCCTATCTTTCTATAACAAACGAAAGCATAGTTATAATAGTATAGACCTATGTAAGAATTGGCGAGGTTGCTAAGAAATTCCAATTTTGAAATATCCACAACTATTCTTGCATATTCACAGCATGGGCGGATCAAGTACCCCGTGCACCCCACCCCCGTTTTGCCACCAAATTTTTAAAATTTAATGCATATTAATGTTATGTGCTACTCACAATCTTATCTATTCTGAAACTGTTGTGCCCCCCCCCCAACCCTTTTGAAAAATTTTATATCCGCCCCTGCAGCAGACACATGTAAGAATTCTGAACCATGTCAAAACGAAGGAGTTTGTTACCATAATGATTCAGAACTAGGATTCTACTGTAAATTGTTCTACTGGGGCCGTACACTGGAACTTCTGTGAGATCCGTATGTTATTATATTGTTTCTTTTTCATTTAATGTATATTAACTGACACTTGTGTCGAGAATTTTATAAAATGATGGTTGTGAGGAAGAACTTTTATCCTAATATTGGTATGTAAACCAACGTGTTAGACAATATAGACCTTATAATCTAAAAAATTAGTGTGTATATATATAATTGAGCTATCGTAAGATAAACCAATCAGAAAACAAAATAATCCAACATGGCCATCAGAGGACTAAAAATCATCAATTGATTACATTAACTTTTGATATCAAACCTTCTGACCACCAAAAGTAAGTCGTGGGAAAAGTTTGAGAGTGTATATGCCAAGTCTGTAACAGATGAAAATATGTAACAAATGGCTAAGGCCAAAAAGAGAAAGTGTGCCCTTAACACATCATTCGTAATTGCTTCTTTTTCAGTTCTTCTTTCGTGCTTAGTGAACCCATGTTTAAATGGTGGAACCTGCACAGACAGTCTATGCCAATGTCCAGATGGATTTTATGGAACCTTGTGTGAAAAAAGTTTGTTAAAGCCATTTTATAATTGAACTGTGTATAGGTATTTCTATTACAAACAAGTATACAACGGAATTAACGACTAATACGTATAATGATTAGGAGGAAAAAACCACTGTAGGATGATGTGGCATTCGTATGGGTCATGTCCATACAAAAACATGTGCTGGTTTACCAACTATATATCCATGGTGACCAGGGAAATACTGATGCCAGCGCCTTTGTATCTGTCTCTTATACACATCTAGATGTGTATAAGAGACAGCAATAATTATTATAACAACATATATATTGTT